CCCATCAACTTTGCTTGTCGCGAAAGGGGATCACATGATCTTGGGACACAGCAAAGGTCATCAATATGAACTGGTTGCCAACCGTCTGAATTTTGATGACATGACCATGGGGTTGCTGGGTTTATGAAAAACATTCATAAGTCACTTTTTTTCGGTGTTGTTGTAACTTTGAATGGTTACTAAGCGAACTCTTGTAAGTCGAGGACTACCTGTATGGAAAACAAGGCCTGGGGATGCAGGAGACAATGTTTTGATTGTGTTGGGAAAGCTACCTAAAAGGCAGGTAGACCTTCTTTCTTTAAAGCATTTCTTTAGTGACCATTCAACCGCACTGGGTTGGAAGAAAAATCCATCTGGTTCAGTTCCAAGACAGGAGGAAGGCGTGGGAAACAAAATGGAGCCAACTGGAAAGGATGATGAATGGAACCACCAACAGCAGGTGGTTCTGGGGCAGCCAATTGAATGAGTGGAGGGATCTTTATAGGTTTCTGAGATGCTGCTGGAAGTTGTGCAACATCTGAAGTGCCGCCAGGGGTTGTGCAATTGAGTTCTTTATTGAGTTCTGTGTCTTTTGCTAGTCTAATGGTGGTGGGTTAATCCTATTATGTCCTAAAAGGTCACATCCTGTTCTTAGAATTTGGGTGGAGGAGGAGGTAAATTTAAATGTCATCGCAAGAGGTGAAGGCCTTTTGTTTGTCAATAGGCTGGCCCAGTCTTTCTTAATGGGAACATTAAGAAAGACATGGGGCTGCTTTCTGCCTTTAAGAGCATGTGTTCCCCATTTCTGCATTAGGGAAGTATAATATTCTGCCTCTTTTAATACCCCCCAAAATATTTCATTCTCAGGAGTGAGGGGGAGAGAGGCTTCTCTAAAATGAAAAGTGTGACATGATCGGTTGTTGCCCTTAGGACCATTGCAACATCCCAATGGTCATGTCATCAAAATTCAGACAGTGAGCAACCAGTGTGTATTTACGGTTAGGTGGTCACCGTTCGCAACTTTTCCAGATGGCTGCTGACTAGCAAAATCAATGGAGAAAGCTGGGTTTGTTCAATGGCTCCAGAATTAGTTTAATAACTGCAATGCTTCACTTAACAGCAGTGGCCAAAAAAAAAAAAGCTTCTAAAATCAGGTGTGACTCATTTAACAACCACCTTGTTTGGCAATGGAAATTCTGTTCTCAATTGGGGTTGTAAGTCGGGGATTCCCTGTACAGGAGAATGGGCATTTAGTGCAGAATTGAGACCCAGGCTGAGTCAGCAAATTTCTCTGCAAAAGTAAATATCACTGAGTTCCATGGGGTTTAATGATAGGTCTATCTGGATTGCACCGTAAAAATATGCATTGGATTTTTATTATTTACTTATTTACTAGAGTAATTTGTGTTTGTTACAAATAGGGAACCTGAGGGGTATCAATTGTGTATCAATGCAGAAGTTTCTTTGTGCCTTTAGACCTCCCAGCATTAGAACCCAGTTTACAAATACTGTAGTTTTGATTGATCAATCAGAATAGAGATAGAAGCAGAGGTGGCATTCAGCAGGTTCTCACCAGTTCTGGAGAACCGATAGCGGGAAATTTTGAGAAGTTAGGAGAATCGGTAAAGACCACCTCTGACTGGCCCCTCCCCCATCCATTCTCTGCCTCCCGAGTCCCAGCTGGTTGGGAGGAAATGGGGATTTTGCAGTATCCTTCCCCTGCCACGCCCACCAAGCCATGTCTACAGAACCATAGTAAAAATTTTTGAATCCCACCACCAGATAGAAGGGACCTTCGAGGTCATGTAGTCCAGCCCCCTGCTCAAGCAGGCGACACTATACCCATGATGGTGAACCTATGGCATGCGTGCCTAGGTAGCACATGGAGCCATATTTGCTGGCACGGCAGCCCTCAGCTCTGGCGTGCATGCATGTGCTGGCAAGCTGATTTTCAGCCTTCCAGAGGGCGGGGGGAGGCCGTTTTCGCCCTCCCAAGGCTTCAGGAAAGCCTCCGGAGCTTGGGAAGAGCAAAAATCCTCCCCTTGCAGGTTGCCCGCTCATGTATGATGGGTGTGGGTTGCTTGCGCATGCGCAGGTGGGTGGCCACGTGCTCGCAATAGCACACGTGCGCATAGTTTTGGCACACTTTTAGAAAAAGGTTAGTCATCATTGCTCTATACCATTTCAGACAAACGGCTGTTCAGTCTCTTCTTAAAAACCTCCAATGATGAAGAAGCACCCACAACCTCTGAAGGAAAGCTGGTTGATTGTCCTCACTGTTAGGAAGTTTCTGCTCAATTTCACGTTGCTTCTCTCCTTGAGTAGTTTTCCTCCATTGTTTCTTGCCTTGCCTTCTGGTGTTTTGGAAAATAAGTTGACCCCCCCCTTTTCTTTGTGGCAGCCCCTCAAATACTGGAATACTGCTATCATGTCACCCCATAGTCCTTCTTTTCTTTAGGCTTCTAGCCAAACTGAAATCCTGCAGCCATTCTTCATGTGGCTTAATCTCCAGGCCTTTGATCATCTTAGTTGCTCTTCTCTGCACTTTTTCCATAGTCTCAACCTCTTTTTTCGTAGTATGGTGATGGAAACTGGTTGCTGTATTTCAGGTCTTACTAGGGTTTTATAAAGTGGTACTAATACTTCACTTGATTCTGATTCTTTGTCTCTGTTTATACAACCAAGGATTCTGTTAACGTTTTTGGCTGCTGCTCCACACTGCTGGCTCATGTTTAAGTGATAATTATAATTAGCATCATTTGCATAAGGACATCATGGTACCTGTGATTTTTTTTTTTTTAGTGATTTTATTAATATTTATAGGCCGCCCTTTTCCCTGAGGGGACTCAGGGCGGCTTACATAAANCTTCCTCCAGCACAATTAGTAAACCCCTCCCAAATACCATGCCCTCCCTCCCCATTTCATGGCAGCCGAAGCAGCAGCAAAGCAGAGGCTGACACTATCCTTTGGTGTGATTCAAATTATTTTTACTACTGGTTCTGTGGACATGGCTTGGCCGGAGTAGCATGGCTTTATGGGTGTGGCATGGTAGGGGAAGGATACTGCAAAATCTACATTCCCTCCTGATCAGCTGGGACTCGGGAGGCAGATAATAAATGGGGGAGGGGCCAGTCAGAGGTGGTATTTACCAGTTCTTTGAACTACTCAAAATTTCCGCTACCGGTTCTCCAGAACTGGTCAGAACCTTCTGAATACCGCCTCTGAATCCTACCCACATGTTTGAAAATTTGAGCCCATTCAAGCGGCTTCGCATGGCTGTGGCTTGGCAGCTTCCACCCAAACCAGAGGTGGGTACTGACCGGTTCAGGCGAGTAGGTAGTAACTCGGCCTGCCACACCCCCAAACTGTTCTATCGGCAGTGCCGTAGTTACTACTGCGCATGTACACCCAAAACGTGTCCCTGAGCAAACTGGCAGTAGCAGAAGCCTGAACCCAGCTCTGACCCAAATTAACATGTTCAGATTCTCCTTTGCATCAAAAGGTAATCAAATCTTCACTTCTTCTCATGTTGATGTGATTACAGGTAGTCCTCAACCACAATTGAGCCCAAAATGTATATTGCTGAGAAATTTGTTCAGTGAATTTTGCTCCATTTTACTACTTTTCTTGCCACGTTTGTTAAGTGAATCACTACTGTTGTTAAATTAGTAACATGGTTGTTAAGCGAATCGGGCTTGCACGTTGACTTTCCTTGTCAGAAGGTCACTAAAGATGATCATATGACCCAGAGAGGTTGCAACAGTCATAAATGTGAGTTATCAAGCATCTGAATTTAAATTACGTGATCATGGGGATGCTGCAATGGTCGTAAGGGTGAAAAATGGTCATGCCTGTTTTTTTCAGTGCCATTATACCTTCGAACGGTCACTAAGTGGACTGTTGTAAATTGAGTATTACATGTGTAATCTTGGAATCTTCCAAATAGGGAGGAGGGAGAAGATTCTTGGGCAGCATCAAGTACATAACATGACAAGTCAGCAAAGCAGGGGTGAAATTCAGCAGGTTCTGGAGAACCAGTAGTGGACATTTTGAGTAGTTCGGAGAACCAGCAAAATATCACCTCTGGCAGGCCCCAGAGTAGGGTGGGAATGGAGATTTTGTAATATCCTCCCCCCAGGTGTGGGGAGGGAATGGGGATTTTGCAGTATCCTTCCCCTGTCACGCCCACCAAGCCACGCCCACAGAACCATTAGTAAAAAAAATTGCATTTCATCACTGAAGCAAAGTCAAAAAAAGCATATCAGTTAAAACATTGAAGCAGGCAAGACATGATGGATAGATTATTTCTCTTTTTTGTTATTGTTCTGATTTGCTTTTCTTTCTCTCTCTGTCTCTCCTTTCCTTTTTTAGGTAGGTGACATGACTAGAAGTTAGGTAGGGTAGAAAGAAAGAAAGCGTCTTTTAATAAAGGGTGACATAACTAAACGTTAGAATAAGAGATAGAAATAAGAGAAAGGGGGAATGTTAATGTATACATTTTTATATAATAAAATAAGAGCAATTACAAGAGAAAACATGGAATAATTGAACAATGACAGACTGCAACTTAATATAATTATGTATTATTATTATTAGAGATATATAAGTAGGTTGAATGTAATAATTATGATTAATTTTATTAATATTATTTGTACTAGAATGCATGACATCCAGTTCATGAATTGATATGTAAAATAATAAAAAAATATAAAAAAAACTTTTAAAAAATGAGAGCAAAGAGTATCTCTGCCAAGAATTCGATTCCTTCGATCCTGATTGGCTCAAGGCAAATTCAGCCTACCATTTTCCGAGGTCAGTAAAACAAGGACCCAGAGTGTTGGGAACAAGATGCTATAAATCGCTTAGAGAAGATTGTAAAGCACTGTGAAGCGGTATATAAGTCTGAGTGTCATTGCTGTTGCTATCATTTAGAAGGCTTTTTGTGGTTCACATCAGTTGCTTTGAAGAGGAGAAAATAAGAGGGCTTGCCCCAAATTATTTTAAAATCCATTGTCCGTATATGGATGGCATGTGCCAGTTCTGTCTTTTGGAGCTACAGAGAGGCCATGATAAAACGTTTGCAGATTCATCCTATTTTCTGAATGTTGTAATCCACAACAGTGAGTATGCTGTTTCCGCTGTGAAAATTTTCTTTCCCTGGGATCACACAGCTGCCCCAAATCGCTTAGAGGAGATGATCATGGTCCCACCATCACACCTGTAAGGCTTTTAAGGATGTTCAGAAAAGCTGCAGGGGATCAGCAAAAGTCTTCAAAAGTCTGCTAGCAATTGCTAAGATAAGATAGAATCTTGGACAGGAGCATCTCATTCTTTGCACCTCTGTGGAGGAAGGAAGAGCTTAAAATGGAAACTTTCCATCACCTTCATCCTGAAAGCAAAATACAAGTGGTCCTCAGCTTACAATCATTCATTTAGTGACGGTTCACAAAGTCACAATGACACTGAAAAAGCAAATTAAGACCGCTTCTCACAATTATGACTATTGCAACCTTCCCCACAGTCATGGGCTCAAACTTTGGGTATTGGCAACTGGCATGTATTTAACAATGATTGTAGCATCCTTGAGTTATATGGTCACCATTTGAGATCTCCCTAGAAAGATTCTAACAAGCAAAGTTTAGGGTGGAGAGACGGAAGCCTTTTCTTACATGGAAAAACATCCAAGCTCAGCTATATTTTACAAAAAGCTACCTCAAGTGTGATAAAAGAATATGGGAAAGTAGGTTATGGTCCAATGAGACCAAGGCTGAACTTTCAGGCCGTATTTCCATGGTTGGCCATAATTCCAAAAAGTATGTTTGACACAAAAGCAACACTGGACATCACCAAAAGTACTGGTACACGATATCCCCAGTGAAGCATGGTGGTGGCAGCAATATGCTTTTGGGCTGCTTTTCTTCAGCTGGAACTGGGGCTTTAGTTAAGGTGGACAGAATTATGAAGAGTTCCAAATATCAATTTTCACACAAAATCTTCAGGCCTCTCCTAAAATGCTGAAAGTGAAGAGGAATTTCATCTTTCAAGATGACAATGACTGAAAGCATACTTCCAAATCAAGAAAAGAATGGCTTTTCTTTTCTTCTACTCTACTCTACTCTACTCTACTCTACTCTACTCTACTCTACTCTACTCTACTCTACTCTACTCTACTCTACTCTACTCTACTCTACTNTTTCTGAGCCAACATTTTGGTTGCTAAGCAAGAGTGTTGTTAAGTGAGTTTCACCACATTTTACAAGTTGGCCATGCCCACCCAGTCACATGACCACCAAGCCACTCCCATCCAGTCACATGGCTGGCAAGCCACTCCCACAAAACAGGCCACACCTACAGAAGAGATTCTAAAAAAATCTCTTTCCCACCACTGCATGGCTTATAGTCTTGTGACCTGGTTAACTGTAGTTATGTCAATGAACAGAGTTTAAGCAAAACTTGGTTTAAAATGATGTGCAAAACCAATTGCAGACTCATTTCCCATCTTCTGATCCATGTATGTTTGCATCTTTGATCTTTTATCCCAATCATATAATGAACAATTCCAAATGATGTAGAACAGGGGTGTCAAACTTACATTGTCATGGTATATTGCGACTTCCCCCTCTTAGCTAAAATAGGGGTGGGCATGTTATTTAAAACATTAAAGCTTGTATTTAAAAAAACAACAACCGCCCTGTAAATGAGGAAGCCAGCTCTATTTTTCTACAGTCATAATGATGACATCGTTCAAATGAATTTAAAAGTTGATGTTGCCACATACTAAGTCATTTTCTTCCTTTTTTTTAACACTCCCGAAAAAGATTTTTCCTCTTGCGTGCACAGCTGCCCACTTCTTCAAATTACCCCAAAACAAAAACACACACACAAAAAAACCAACAACAATCAAGACATTTTTTGTTGTTTTTGGTCTAGTGATAGAATTTTTCCCTCAGAGGATATCTTGATGTTCTTCTTTCTTTCCTGACAAAACTTTACGAGCAGATTCAAAATGAACTTAGAAGTCAGTTAGGAATAGGCACAACTGATTGCCTAACAAAACTGCTGTTTTTGGATGCTGGTCAGTGGTGGGATTCAAATTTTTTAACTACCTGTTTTGTGGGCGTGGCTTAGTGGTGGGGGTCATGTGATGGAGTGGGTGTGGCCAACTTGCCATGAGTGATGGGGTGGGCGGAGTGAGCGGTGAGCGGGTGGGTGGAGCGAGTGGTGACCAGGCAGGCAGGGGCGGGGCTAGCCAGAGGTGGTATTTGCTGGTTCGGTGAAGGTTAAAATTTCTACTACCTGTTTGCCCAAACCAGTCCAAACTGGCTGAATACCATTTCTGTTGCTGGTGCTCAGGAAGGACTTCTTATGCTCTCTTATACAACTGGTACAGAAGCCGTAATTCCTGAATGAGTCTCATTGTTACAAACAGTGCAGAACATGGCTGATTGCAAACACACGTATGCCCAGAGAAATGTTAAAGCTTATTCTGCCTTTCTTCTTGCTGTAGAAAAAAAAGCTAAAGAAAACCTTTATTTTGTTTAATACCCGCAGTGCTGACCCCATGTCATGGATTTAGTGTGGACACGGAACAACCGGTCATCTTCCGGGAAAGGGTGAAGAGTTTTGGCTACAGCGTGGTGCAATTTGGCAGTGGCACAAATGGCGGGTAGGTGACCCCAGTCTGTCTAGGATAATGTTTCTCAACCATGGCAAGTTAAATATGGGTATCCCAAAGCTGGCTTTTCAAGAGACAACTGGACTTTCTTGTTTTTCTTTGAAGACATTTCCCTTCTCCTTCAAGAAGCTTCTTCAGCTCTGACTAAATGGTGGGGAATGGGCTGGTCATTTGAATTCTTTTAGCAAGTCATTAAGGCCACCTGTGGGCATCAGAGTCAGCTGAGTAGTGCAAATGGGTGTGGACCCTTCTTGGAACTGCTGAAAGGACTGTGATGTAGACTGGAAATAGATGATGTGGTATCCCTCCCCCTCTGGGGAGAGAGAGCTGTTCAATTTTGACAAAGATGGCCTCCTTTGACCCCTCTTTCAAACCAGAGGTCCCCTCTGTCCAAAATGTGGACTTTACTGTCTTCAAATGGGCACCCTTTATCTTTTAAATGCAGATGGACTGATGAATCTAGTCCTGATGAGTTTGTTCTCCTATGTTGAAGAAGCTTCTTGGATGAGAAGCGAAACATCTTCAAAGAAAAACCATAAAAGTCCAGTTGCCTCTTTAAGAAGCATCTTGGGGACAACTATGACCTGGGCAACTTAGAATCTCCATAGACCTTTAAAGATGGCTGGACTTCAACTCCCAGAATTCCCCAGCCAGCCATGCTGGCTGAGGAATTATGGGAGTTTAAATCCACCCATCTTCAAATTGCCAAATTGGAAACACTGTTTTAGAACCACGAACAGCTCACTGTCTTCGTGACTCTGTCTCCTTGGATCACGGGGCTGAGCAAGCTCATCAGAGCCACATGCGCACTGAAAAAAATCCACCATTGACCACTTGGATTATCTGGAGTGGTGGGAGCTAAAGCAAGCGTTGACCAACATTAAGAGATTTTACTTTTTGTATGTGTGCTGAGTTCTGGTTGGTTAATCTCAACAGCTGAGTCCTGATTGGGTCCTTCTGTGGGTAGATTTCTGATTTGCCTATTCTACTTTGTCTGCGTTTCCCCTCCTATTGACAGGGTGTTAGTAGGTGCTCCACTTCAACAGGGAGGAGTGAATGAAACAGGGAATCTGTACAAATGCCAGGGGACTTCGAGCAAAACAGGCGGATGCCAGGAGATGGACCTCCAAAGTAAGCACTGAACTCTTCAATCCCTTGATTTTTAAGGCAGGAACCTCGGCATTTAATATTGACTTATTTATTACCTATGTTCCTCACGAGGAACATCAGTACTAAATATTTTAATTCATATTTTAAAGTTATATTTTATATGTATATTGAATTTCCAGAGAATAGTTTATTGTGTTTAAGTTATCCAGGGACAGACTATGTAAATTTTATTGTACTTCATTAGCATGATAAATCAAGCCTTCTTTCCTCCCTCCCTCCCTCCGCCTTAATTCTCCTTCCGTCTTTCCTTCCTTTCTCCCTCCCTCCCTCGCTCACTCTCTCCCTCCTAATTCTCCTTCCTCCCTCCCTCCCTCCCTCCCTCGCTCACTCTCTCCCTCCTAATTCTCCTTCCTTCTTTCCCTCTCTCCTAATTCTCCTCCCTCCCTCCTAAATCTCCTTCCTCCCTTCCTTCTTTCCTCCCTCCCTTTCACCTCTTTCTTTCTTTCTTTCTTTCTTTCTTTCTTTCTTCCTTCCTTCCTTCCTTCCTTCCTTCCTTCCTTTCAAGTCATTTGGAGATGGACAGCATCAAACTGAATGAATAAATAAAATAAAATTTAGAATGAAAATTCATAGTGAATGCTCTTTGATGGGTATGTTTTATTTACTTTATTATTATTATTATTATTTTGGCCTTCTCAGGACCTGCTGATGCAGTCAACATGTCTCTTGGTTTATCTGTTTCGGCCCATGATTCTCAAGTGTTGGTAAGGTCTTTGTCATTACATTGGTAGCAATGATCTAGGTCTTTGCGTAACAGGTGGCAGCACTGCACACATTAGGAGGTCTTGAAAAACTAACTGCAGGACACTGGATCCTTGGGAAGTGACAAAGGATGAAGATAAAGGGAAGAAGCACATTCAGACTTGCAAAGTTCTGCTACTATAACCTTGTAATAAGAGTAGCATTGGTTTGCGTGCCTCTGATTTCTACCTTGGAGAGCTGACATCCGTCTTGTAAATCTAAAGTATTAGATTTATATACCACTTCACAGTGCTTTACAGTCCTCTCTAAGCAGTTTACAGCGTCATCATGTTGCCCCCAACAAGCTGGGTCTTCATTGGGAGGCTGATATTAGGAGGCAATTCAACCAGGAGTAAAATAATTAAAATTTAAAGTTAAAAAAAGATTAAATAATTTAAATGGAGTTTGACCTTGCCCGATTTTCTATGCCTGGTCACTGGAAATGGTTCTTTTTGCCCCTACAGGTGTGTGGACCCAGAGTACACCAAACATGTGGGGAATACATATATCTCAAAGGTTATTGCTTCCTCTTGGACCAGAATTTGAGGCAAATCCAGCGCTTTCCTGATAAACTGCCAGGTGAGATCCAGATGCAAGAAAAAGAAAAAAGGTCAACTATGTGAAAATATTATGTCAGATAAGGTAAACCTACCTTATCATTCATATTTTTCCATAGTCGTACGACCAGGTACTTAACAACTGTTTGAAGTTACAACTGACCTCTCCAGAGCAAAGTATAACCCGTTTTTGAAGTTACAATAGTCACATAGACACATCAAGTTACATTTGAGGTGTTTGGCAACTGGTACACCTTTACAGTAATTTATGGTGTCCCACAATCGTGTGACTACAATTTGTGACTTTTTTTTTCCTGGCTTCTAGTATTTACTTCTGGTTTCCAACCAAAAAGAAATGCCCATTGTGGAAAATGGATTCATTTAACAACCATTGTAATTGCATAAGAACTGTCATTAAAATTGGAAGTAACTTCCAATCTGGTCATGTGATAGCAATAGCACTTAGTCTTATATACTGCTACGCAGTACTTTTACAGCTCTCTCTAAGCAGTTTACAGAGTGAGCCTCTTGCCCCAACAATCTGGGTCCTCATTTTACCAACCTCGGAAGGATGGGAAGACTGAGTCAGCCTTGAGCCAGTGAGACTCAAACTGCTGATCTGCTTGCAGCCAGCAGTCTGCAGAAGTAGCCTGCAGTACTGCATTCTAACCACTGCACCACCATGGCTCTTGAGGACTCTAATCGTGACTAAAATCCATATTTCAGGGTCGATTACAATAATGACAAGGACTACCTAAACTCTCCAGGAGACCCAGATGCATTGAGCTGAACGCAGCTTATTCTGAATTAAGTTTGAGCAAGATCCTTGTAGAATTACACACACAACGATGAAGATCAGCTCATTTCGAAGAAGAATGTGGGATAATTAAATGCCAGTCAACTTGCAGTATCTCACAGACATACTGTACTAAGTGCATTAAGTTTAGACAGATTCATTTTTTGCACAATTTATTTATTATATATGCTATTTTATTTATTTTGTCATCTGCTTGACTTTATGCTATTCTCCCCCCCCCCCCATTTTCTTATCCATTGACCTGGCTTCCGTAGAATGTGCCAGACGCCCTGCTGACATCGTTTTTCTGATTGACGGTTCAGGGAGCATAAGTACTAGACAATTCTCACAAATGAAGACCTTTATTTCTGAGGTCATTAAGCGCTTCCAAAATACAAACACTCAGGTAATGTTAAGAGATCAGAGGCGGTTGAATGAAATGATAATATTCAGGATGAAAATGTTGAGTCCCTTGGTGAAATCTGTAGTAGTATATAATCATTATTCAATTTTTTACTATACTAAAATAACAGTGGAGAAATTCAATTGCTTTACTACCAGTTCTGTGGGTGTGGTTTGGTGGGCGTGACGGGGGAAGGATACTGCAAAATCCCCATTTCTTCCCCACTCTGGGGCCAGCCAGAGGTAGTATTTGCCGGTTCTCCAAACTATTCAAAATTTCTGCTACTGGTTCTCCAGAATCTGTTAGAACCTGCTGAATTTCACCCCTGTAAAATACGCTTTTTCTATTAGGGGCCCTTCGATATTCAATCTGTGGTAGTTTCCATCCTGTGGCGGTTGCGGTGTTTGTTTCCAGACTGTGCCTTATAACCTATATGTATATTTATTTTGGATGTTTTAATTTTTTTAAATTGTTTTAAAATGTTTTTAGAATTTTTATTGTAATGCAGGTAGTCCTTGACTTACATCAGTTCATTTAATGACTGTTTGAAATTACAATGGCACTGAAAAAAGTGACTTATGACCATTGCAACATCTCCATGATCACATGATCAACATTCAGATGCTTGGCAACAGATTCATATTTGTAACAGTTGTAGAGTCCCTTGGATTATGTAATCATCTTTCTGACACACAAAATCAATGGGACAGCCAGATTAATTCAACAACCATATTACTAACTTAATAACTGCACCAGTGTTGGGTTTCTACCAGTTTTACTACTAGTTTGCTCATGCCCGTGTGCTCTTTTGGTTCGGCCGAACCGGGCCGAACCAGGAGCAACCCACCTCTGATTGATTGATTGAATGAATGAATGAATAGACCATGAATGTCAAACTCACGTCATCATGTTGTCACATGACATACCACAACTTTTTTCCCCTTTGCTAAACCGGGAGTGGGCGTGGCCAGCATGTGACGCATCTAGCACATAGGCTGGGAGTTTGACACTTCTGGAACAGGTGGATGGATGTGATTAGGTCACTTAGATTTGCTCCAAACAGTGGTGGGATTCAAATTTGTTTACTACCAGTTCTGTGGGCGTGGCTTGATGGGTATTCCAGGGAAGGATACTGGAAAATCTCCATTTTCTCCCAATCAGATGCGACTTGGGAGGCAGATAATAGATGGGGGCGGGGCCAGTCACAGGTGATATTTACCAGTTCTCCAAACTATTCAAAATTTCCGCTACTGGTTCTCCAGAACTGGCCAGAACCTGCGGATACCACCTCTGAGATAATGAAGGCTTAGTCTGCTAGGGGTGGGGATAGTGATGGCAGGGTGTGTATGGTCATAAATATGTGTGGTTCTGAATTTTGTTCACATGACCAGGGGGTGCTGCTACCTCTCCTCAATCACTTCTAACTGTCCCGTTAGGGCTAGCAGGCTAAGCATGCTGTGTGTTCTCTCAATTAAAGCATGTTATCCTGAGGCCTCTTCCGTTGCTGTGCCTCCATTTTGGAACAACCAAATCCCTGAGATTAGATTGGCCTCCACCCTGCCAGCTTTCCCAAAGGTTTTGAAAATCTGGATGTATTCCCACGCGGCGGCTGCTAAGATTAGTTGGATCCTGTGACGTGTTCCTAGGATATTAGATTATATTCCTCCTTGGTGGTTCTTACAGATTTTTTTATATTGCCCAGGGTTTTGCTGCTATCCCCCACTCAGCATATTGTTTTTCTATTTTATTCACAAAATTAAAATAACAAACTCCAAAAAGGAGGGGGGGGGAATAAAAGAACAAAACGAAGCTAAGGAAGACATAAAATGTTCATAAAAACACATACACATAGATTGTTTCCTTTAGTTGAATGCTGACAAATATATTTCAAGAATAATAGTTCCTCCTCATCTGTGAAACAGGCCTACGGTTTATTAACTTCCTCAACTCTGTTTACCCAACCAATTGGACCTGATATCTAGATTTTATAATGTGTCATTAAACACCCGGTATTACAGCTAAGTAGACAACCAATTATCATATAAAAATAATAGTTTTTAAAAGGATGATAATTCTCTCTTTCTCTCTCTCCCTTTCTCTAGTTTGGCTTGTCCCAGTATTCAGGTTCATATGAAGAACATTTTGACTTTCTCCTTTTCAAAACTACCCCAAATCCGGATGACTTGATTAAAACAGTCCGGCAGCTGCATGGAGCTACTCACACAGCTACGTATATCCAGAGAGTGGTGTAAGTTTTCATTGGTTGGTTCTTCTTAATTTAACAGTTTACTTCAGCTGCTTAGTCCAGAATGCTTATTTTTACTTGCATTTAAAAGAGGATCGATGCACATTGTGGTTAAAAAAAAAAAATTATTGCACCACCACATCTGCTATCCTGATTTTGCAGGATCCAATCTGGGTCCATCACCCAGATCCTCTGGTTCTGGTTACCACACTGAATATATGTAAATAGCAATAGCAATAGCAGTTAGACTTATATACCGCTTCATAGGGCTTTCAGCCCTCT